AAGAGTGGACAAAAGATTATTATTCTTGGACAAATATGGACATATTGTGGACAATCTAATGCCATATAGATTTTGTCAAAATTCGCATTTAGGGGTGCCAACTTCACGCAGCTTAGCTGTACCGAGGGTAACAAACACGATCGTTTTATGTGACCATCACGTGCTATTTTATTATCGACAGTAGGAAGTTTACATGTTAATTAATTATTTTTAAATTTTCGCAACGTTTGCCGGACAAATGCACATATGCGTACGGCAAACGTTGTGAAAATAAAAAAAAATACGTGTACACGTGTACAACAAACGCGTTGCTTAACTTGAAAGATATGCAAACTTTTCATTGTCGATAATAAAGTAATGATTTGATATGTAAAAAGATCGTATTTGTTATCCTCGGGGCACAGCCAAAATAATTGATAATATATCATCAATTCTTCAATCCCCGAGCCCACTTGACAGCTACGAAAATTAATTGCCTTTGGTGCCGTCTTTAATAAATATATATCTCATCGTCGGCGGCTGTCATAGACATATACTATATATAAGAGGCTGCCCGCGCTGCAGTGCAATACTTCATAATTGTCAGTAAAATTATAAAACATATCACAGCGTATACGCACTTGAGCTGCGTTCGGAAACATCGCTCAAGTGTCTCATCGTATCATTTTATCCTTCTTGTTCACCGAATATTGAACAAGGATAAATGATACGCGAGAACACTCGGGTGACGTTCCCGAACAAGCAGCTCCTTGGTGCTCGGCCCATGTAAAGACCTTGATGCTGAACTGATTAAAGCCCGAGATACGATAGAAAAGCGCAGCCAGCGGAAACAGAGGAGACAGCAGATTTCAACTCTTACCGGAAACTGTGTCGGGCTCCATGCAAAAGTCCGCACTTAAAAGAATTCAGCCTGCCAGAAACCGCGGTCTCGAGCTTCACATGCAAGAATCCGCGCTCCCGCGTCGTCTCGCCGGACTCGCGCCATTATGGTTCAGTGGTGCCACCAGTCTCTCTCTCTCTCTCTAGGAACAATTACTCCAGTCCTCTAACGACCGGCCCGTCCGCGCGGCGGCGCTCTCGTCGCACTTCCCCGGGAACCCGGTAACTCGCGACGACGCTTGGCGCCTTCTGCCGCATCGCAGCTGCAGTGAGCGTCGGTATACGTAAAATGGCGGATGGCGACATTGATTTGTACGCCGACGATCTCGAGCAAGATTTCGCGCAGGTAACACGCATTTCTCTTTGATAGCGATAAAACGGCAGGAACAACGCGTTCTCTATTCTCCCGTGCGTCCGAGGATAATAAAGAGGAGCGGTCCGCGCGTCTCTTGACACACATTCGCAACCTCGAACCGACGGGGGATCGCGTCGCGCTCGGTGTGACGCGCCGCACCGCCGCCGCCGCACCGTGCCGCGCCATACCGTGTTGTACAACGTACCGCGTCGCGCGCCTCGCGATCATCACTGTGTTGAGCGGAGCGATCGCTGCTCCGCGTCGATTTCGCGTGTAATCGGCACCGAGACTTTGTGCGCCGGGCATTGTCGTTGCTCGCGCCGTTGATATCTCACCGTGAACGTTACACTGTGTTGGGCCTCCCCCCCCCGCGGCTCGGCTGCCTCGAGCCGGCGTGAGAGAGAGACGAGACTGTACACTCCGAGGAGAGCGACGAGCGCCCGCGTGCGCGCGCGCGCGCGCGCGAACGAGCGAGAGAACGAGCGAGCGAAACGTACGCTACAAACGGTCGCTAGCTTTAACAAGCATTTCACGAGACGACGAGCCTCATTCCAAGAGTGTTACCTCTTTCTTGTTGCCGCGCAGTTGACCGATCGCCTGTCTAGCTAGTGCCTGTCTGCTGCCGTCGATCGCGCGCGCGATAACCCGTTCCCGGAGCTCTCTAAGCGCTAAACTCAGTAATACGGGTTCGCAACAGGAATCGACCGCAAAATGGTGCTAGCGGTAAGGCGAATTATCGTGTAGTTAACTCTTCACCTTTTTTTTTCGTTTCACTGCTCTCTCTCCTTCCGCCTCCTCTCTCTTTCTCTCTCTCTCTCTCTCTTTCTTTCTTTCTTTCCTACCTCTTCCTTTGGCCCTTATGATTTACAATCCTCACGCGCACGCACATTCTTTTACGTGCAAATATACATATGTATACTAATGTGTACAAACATATGTATACGCACACATATACACGTACATTGCGATGTGTATCGCACTGCATGCGAGATTACATTTTCTTTGCATTTTATTTCTTTCTAACGATTTTATTTCCTATTCTCGAACATTTTTTCTTTTGCGAGAAGAAAAAAAAACGACGTCGAGTATAACGCAGCAGGGATTGAAACCGATTGTAATTTCATGCGAATCGATTTTTATTGCCAAGAATCTTGGATCGCGGGTGGTTGGATGGTGATCAATCCTGCAAGATAAGATTATGTATACAACTTTTATACATGTGAGAAAAGTCGAATGGCAGCGTTCTGTTTAATGTATTTTTAGCAAGATTTTTTTTTTGGAGTCTTCGTTACATTTTATTATATTTCAAACGGAAATGTGGCCACATTTTTGCAAAAAGGAAGGAAATAACAAGTAGTAACAGCGTGTTTCGCAGATAACGAGATTCTGGCGCCGTACCGAAGTCTTGAATTACAATGCGTTCAATCTCTGCTCCATCGTATCTTCACAATGCAAAAAAAGTCTGTATATCTGCATATCTGTTACAGTCGAAGTGTACGATCGGTTGATCGGTTGAACCACAAGGTGCGCAGGAAGTCGCGTGTAATAAGAAAATGGTACATCTGACGATTTTTTACATATTGATGTAATTTATTTTCGTAAATTAGTTTGTATATACTGGGCTCTTGCAAAAGTGTCTTGAGATCATTGTTGTTATATTGAGCGTTTACTTTCAGTCTCGAGAGTTTTCAAAAATTTGGCGATTTTAAATTTTCGAATTGCTCTGTTCCTTCGTGGTTCTTGCTTGTGTGTGCACTACTTATACTTGATGCTCAAATAACAAAATGGACTCAATACGTTTTTTTTAATAAAATTGATGATACATTTCTTTTTTTTTTTTTCAAAGAAACATCTTCTAATTAAAAATTTAATTAAGCTTCTCTTGGGCAAACACAAGTTGTTTAGTAGCTTTAACAATGACCGTGATAAAGAAATAGCATAGGCTAAACTAATAGAATACTTGTCTGGCATTGTACTCTCTGACATTTGAATACTTTGTAAAATTCTTTTGCACTTTGACTGTAACATATTTAGTACATATGTGTGTGTATTAAATAAATATTGTAAAATAATTTATTGCACATATCATTTGTTGACTAGTCTGCTTCTCATCTAATATACAGTTAAAATTACTACTTTAGTATCGCTGTAACATATCACGCGTTTCTTCCGACTTAAAATATATTTGATGTTTCGTGCTGCACTTGTCTTACTATAATGCTCGTTTAATGTATCTGTTTCAGGATGAATTCGCTGGGGACGGTGTTGATCTTTATGACGACGTGATTGCTGCTCCAGCAGGTGGTAATGGCGGAGTCTCTTCCGGAAATACCGGAGATGGTGGTGGTGATACCACGTCTCCGAATGAAGAAACTAATGGAAATGCGCCTTATCACCAACTCGGCAATAATATACAACCGAATCAAATTGGCAGACGACACCAGTTATACGTTGGCAACTTAACATGGGTATATACGGATTTAATTCCAATATCTTAAAGACTTCTTCTTCTCTTGTTACTTCCAGTGTAGTCTTTTACTTTCGCTGTGTAATATAAATGAAAACATTATGATGTACTCTTTGATGACAAAAAACTACACCTATAAATTAATTTTTTTCAAACTTTAACATATATTTTCTTTCTTACGATCATATTTATGATGTTTTGCAATACAAAGATTTTTTTATATTTTTTCATCAAAAAATATTTGAATTCTAATACTATGTTTTATAATATTTTCCTTGTTAAAAATTATTTAATAACGATTTTATTTTCAGTGGACGAGTGATCAAGATATAACAGATGCTGTTCAGAGCATCGGCGTGACTGATTTTGCAGAGGTGAAATTCTTCGAGAATCGTGCCAATGGCCAATCCAAAGGTTTTTGCGTAATATCGTTGGGTTCAGAGCAAAGTATGAGAATATGCATGGAAAGGTTGCCCAAGAAGGAGTTGCACGGACAGAATCCTGTAGTAACTTTCCCTACTAAGCAAGCGCTCAATCAGGTATGCATCATTGTGCATTATGCATCATAAAGAGAAAATATGTTTATATTAGTGTACCGTAGTATATACAAGTAATATGCTACAATATTCACAATAACGGATACGCGTGAATTATTATGAATATCACAGCATACACGTGACCTATACACAACTATCTTTTTTTCTATGTGTTTCTAGTTTGAGTCGCAGTGTAAGACGCGACCTGCTCCGGCTCCGCAACAGAGTCAGAGCCAACGTCCTCATAATCCACATCAACATCAGCCACCAATGCCACCTCATCAACAGCATCCCCAACACCCTCAACATCCTCAACATTCACAACAGAATCACGGTCCTAGAATGATGATGGGTCCCCCACAGGGTGTAAGACCACAGAGAATGCCGCCTCCCGGAATGGGTCCACCGGGCCCCGGTGGACCCGGTCAACAGGGTCCACCGCGTATGCACGGTCCACCGTTGGGGCCAGGACCAGGACCGCATCATCCGTTGCCCGGTCATCCTAATCAAGGTCCGCCGCCCGGATATCAACAGGGTCCGTGGAACGGCCCGCGGCCAAATGGTCCCCCGGGACCGCCTAGGGGTGGACCTAGTGGGCCCGGCGGCCCACCTCAGCAGGGTCCGCCTGGGCCAGGTCCTGGCCAGCATAGACCCCCGGGAATGGTATGTACCACAAGCAGATTTCTTTGTTTCTCTTTAACTGGCAAAATATTTTTTTAACATGCATTGCTGCATTGTATTTCCACATCTATTTAGCATTATGTTTAACTGTAATGCGATTAAATTTAAAGTTTTTGGTGAACTTTTTACGCTCTGAATTTTATTTATAGCAAATATCTTGAAGCATATGTACTAAAAATTGCAACAAGAAATATAAATGTAAAATATAAGTTTGATTCACTATTTTTAAACAACCTAAATTAGAGAATGCGAAGGATGCTATCCTTAACAAAAATACATTTTTAAAACATGAAATATTAAAAAAATATGTAAACTTAAATATGTTAAAATGGATTTACTTAAATCATGGTCATTTACCACATGAAAAAAAAAGAAACTTGCATTGTAGAATGGTATTTGTAACTTCAATGATCGCTTTAGAAGTCGTTATAATATCGTTCTGAAAATTTCCGTGGTGTATTGTAACATTAAACGTAAATTATGTATCAAACTGTGCAGAATCTGATTACTAATAAATACATCTAAAACATTTTTTTATTATTTTGATAAAATAATCTTGAAATTTTTTGGAGGATAAATTCATAAGGCGATATATAAATTTGTAGATCTGCACAGTTTCTAAAAGAATCATTTAATGCATGTCTATTGATTATCATAGTACAGGTTTAAATATGTTTTGCACTTACATGTCTTACGCGTAAACAGAGTTGCACTAGAGACCTTTCAGAAGCCAGTTACCATATATCACAGGTAACCGATAATGAGGTTTTCTTTTCATTTTCGAAACAATTTGTTTCGTAATAAATTAATCATTTTTATTATATTACTTGAGTTCAAAAACCTCCAAATTGATAAATTAAATCTTTTGTATAAATAACTGGCTACTTAGAAAATAAAATGATTATTAAGAAATAATAGTAATTGCAGCATTACACAGAAATATTAATATTTTAAATATATTAATTTTCCTAAACTCTGTTGTTTGGAGACTAGGTGGGATTTACATTTTATTAATTCATAAAATTTTACCACACAATATCGGTCATCTATAACAAACATACATATGCATACAAATTTTTGATAGAAATTATCAATAAAATATATGTTTCTAAAAAATATGGATCTCTATTGAATATTATAATATTCAATTAAATTATACAATAAACATAGATGCTAAATTTTTAAGAGAATATTAAAACGTTCTGTTAAATTTTATATTAATGATTATATTTTTTATAGAAATTTTACAGAACAATGCTAATGTCTCAGTTTGTTTCTTACAAACTTGTTCTCTAATTATAAAATGACTTATTTTTCTCGTGAACCTAGACAATAATTATCTATGTAATTATGATAGAGTGAAATAGAACCTTCATCTGTCTTTATTCAGCAATTTCATGGTGGTCCACCCGGGCCCGGGCAGGGGCCTCCACGTGGCCCTCCTGGACATCCTGGTGGGCCTCCGGGGGATCCCAGAGGAGCGCAACCGCGTCCTGAATGGAATAGACCACCAGGTTCGTAGCGTAAATCGATTTTTTTGCCTATTCACCCAAAATTTTTTATTTATTTCTGTGAAATCTCGTTTATAACGCAAAACCTTTAAGATTTATTCCTCTGAAACATCTTGAATGCTTTTGTACTATCTTTTTTGCATGATTGAGTAAACGATAGAAAGGGAAAAACAACGACGAGACGGTGGGAAACTTATGAACAGAAATACGTCGAAGTAGTAGTAGTGCACTATGTTATTTTCGATTTTGCTGACAGTAGATTGGTATTACTGATGAGACTGTTCAATATGTGCATAGGAATGCATCATGGGCCTCAGGGACCACCAGGTTTCCCTCAACATCAACATATGCAAGGGCCGCAGCCTGGCCAAGGCCCACCACAGAGAGGACCTCCTCCAGGTTCTATGGGTGGTGAGAGACTTAGAATGCTCGTTCAATGTTACAAATTTTATTAATCAGTCGTTTTGCTACATTGCGAGTGCATGATATTGAGGGAAATTGATCTGGCAGAAGCATTGAGGTGCAAGGTGTTTCAAAGGATCATTTCGATAATTTGAAATTGTCAAAACAATCAAGGGTTATTGAACTTGCTGATTTCTAAAATATAGGCTCTGGCACAGACTTCTGCACAACGCATAAGACATAAGGCATAAGAAAATCAACCAATCAAAGTCCTTAATTTTTGATTTGAATTGTTGATTCTCTTATGCCTTACGTTTTATACGTTATGCAGCGTTATGCAAAAGTCTGTGCCAAGGCCTTATCACTGATAAACCCCACTGTATATTTTATTCACAGACGTAATGAGTACAGACTGCGCATTCTCTGTCTTCTGATTTCAACATCTGTTCTCCATTAGAAACGCAATACGTCGAAATGTATTAGCTCTCTTTAATATTGTTTATATGTATCAATTAATATTTAGAGAAAGAAAGAGAAAACGATATGCACTGTTACTTCGTTCTTTCTAAACAAATAGTGGCAACTTCATTGGAATACGCAGTCTGTGCTTATCTATAGTTTTATTGCACATCATATTTATATACTGTATATTTTCTTGAGTTTTGTTGAATATTACTATTTATTATTAAAGTATTTAATTTACATAATGAAGAAAGTACATTAACGATTTATTTCAATATATAATTTGATTTTGAAATTAGGATTTATTTTCATTATTCATGTGTTTTATTAACTGTCTCATGTGTTTATAGTCACGATACATTTATCATTTATATTTGACAAATAAAAAGTATTTTAAGTTTTAATTAATTGAGTACATTATTAGGTCCAGGTGGACCGCCGCCGGGACATGGTGGACCGCCACAAGGTCCACCTCAGGGACCGCCGGGAGGGCCGGCACCTCATGTCAATCCTGCATTCTTTCCGCAAGGACCACCTCATCAACATCCCGGTCAACACCCACCGGGACCTCCCGGCCCACCTCACGGCCCGCCACATGGGCCACCTCATGGCCCTCCTCACGGTCCTCCTCACGGTCCACCTCATGGACAATCACACGGACCACCACATGTACCACCACATGCTTACGGGCCACCGAGTGCACAAGTATTATCTTATTATCATGTCTAAGTATATTTTAACCGAAATATATTTTAACGGTTAATGGATAATTTGTCTTTAACATAAATTAGTTTTGATAACCATGTTTTGATAGTTACTACCTCATAAGGTAATTATTTACAATAGGAGAAACAGCTTCGATGACCTTGATAGTTAGTTAATAACAAAGGACGGGTAACGGCTAAAATTTTTCGAAGATCATTCAGGGATCTGATCACATATCTGATCACATTCACGATCTTGATAACATATGTCAAGGTCATCGGGCAGCTGGTTCCCCTATTGTAACCCGCAGTTTATTCAAATAAATTCGGCGCTTACTAATGCAACGTTATTAATGCAAGACGGAGTAATTTTGTAGATATTTATATTCAGGAAACATTAAGATGCAAATACACGTTTAATATAATTTTTCATATTGCTTTTATATTTTATAGGCTCCTTACGGAGCACCCGGGCCTGATCATCGCCCGGAAGGTCCACCACCGCTCACTGAGCAAGAATTTGAGGAAATAATGGGCCGTAATCGTACAGTATCCTCGTCCGCGATCGCGCGAGCTGTGTCCGACGCCGCGGCAGGTGAATACGCAAGTGCCATAGAGACTTTGGTGACTGCTATCTCGCTGATAAAGCAATCCAAGGTAGCTGCGGATGACAGATGCAAGATCTTGATCAGTTCCCTTCAAGACACTTTACGTGGTGTTGAGACCAAGAGCTACGGATCCGGACGTAGAGGTGAGTTGAACATATCTGTTTGCAGTGTGTTTCATCATACTCAATAAATTTCTGTTAAAAAGTGATCTGAATTATAACTCTAAAAAATTTCGTATTAAAAGAAGAAAGAGAATGGCAGAAATAATTAATTAAAAAATAATTTTTTATATTTTAAAATATTAAAAGAGTTAATAATAATAATAATAATAATCTTTTCTCTCTGCGGACACATTTCTATTTTGTCTTAAAACTAATCGTCTATCTCACATATAATGAATTTTCTTCGCAGAGCGTTCGCGTTCGCGTGACAGGGAGCGCAGTCATAGGAGACGACGCGAGCGGTCCAGGAGTCGGGACCGTGAGTACCGCGAGCGTAGCAGAGATCGCGAGCGGGAGCGTGACCGGGAGCGTGATCGCGAGAGAGAAAGAGATCGTGATAGGGACAGAGAACGTTATTACAGCGAACCATATCCGAGAGAGCGTTCGCGCAGCAGGGAAAGAGAGCGCGAACGTGAAAGAGATCGTGAATATAGAGAGCGAAGCAGAGAAGAAAGGTAAGCCAAATGATCTCACCAGATTAATCTCTTAATTATGTCACTATTCTTTATTCTTTATTGCGTATTATAAGTGCGTTGTATAAAAGATTTTGTCGAGAGAAGCTCTTTTTTTATAGGGATCTTTAGTGTTAGAGAGAAAAAGAAATAGATTATATTGATGCTAATAAAATATTATGTATTTCGCGAGAGATTTCGTTCAATAAAAACACAATAGGAATAGACTGTTATTATATTCTATACAACAAAGGATTAAAACTAAGTTTCCATCTCTCGATAATCGTATTTTTCTTCGCGTGCGACACATTGAAATTCATATTTAAAATATTCAAAGAATGGAGAATTTTAATTAATAAATTCTCCTCCGTTGTTGAAGGCATTGCCAATGAATTTTTATATTATTTGTATCGTGACCGAGAATTAAACGTGAACGAATCTCTCGACATCATTTTTGTCAATTGTAAATACGGAACGCTCTGAACGAGTAACAAAAGGTTGAAAAAATCAATATATCTATAAGCAAGGAAAAGGAGTCTATAGAGAATATCCATAAGCAAGGAATGAATATACGTGGCATACTTGCTTATCGATGTTTCGATACACCAGAGTAAATAAAAGCGCACCTTTTTATTACCTCAACCGTAACATCGTCTCCATTCGTTGTCACTTCAGATCATACCGTTTGAATTGTTGCGCAATAATCACAAACGAGGTCAATGCTATGTCTATCATATACTTAATTATAATGCAACGCGATATTTATAGCGATACAGCTGCAATTTATGTTATGGGTTTAAAATTATCTATGGATCTTGCAAAATCATGTTAAATGTTACATCACGATTTTTTTTCGGTTGTACATTTTGCCAATAATTTTTTCGTGTATGATTATGATCGAGCATTTTTAAATTTACACAGTAATTTATAAGGTTTTATTGTATTCCATGTTTTTTTTTTTACGTAATGGTTCCTATGTAGATAATATTTAGTGTATTAAGTGATGCACTAGATAATACGAAGTAGTACTTTTATTTATATTTAATTGTTATTTTTTTTTTAAAGAATAAATTGCAGCATTATTGATTATTTATTACCGAAGTATACTATGAAGTATAGGACGACATAAAGAGTATAAACTCTGTCCATGAAAGAGTGAAAGTTAAATAATTTTATTCAAGTAATATGCTAATGTGTTACATTTTTAATAATGTTACAATTATTATGTATTTTTTATAATGAGAATAGCATCTTTATGGTGCTATATTTCAGGTATACTCGCACGAAAGTTAAACGTAATTAACTTAACAAAAAATGGGTAATGACTACTAGAAAAGTATTTCAATGTAAGACGTTATAATATATAGATTGGTACAAAAAGTCTATGTACTTTTTTAATTTGTTTATAACTTACTACTCTCTTACATGAATTCACGTTGTGTAAAAAAGAACTGTATTCTCTTTTTGATTTTTCTCACATATGCAAGCCAAATGTGACTTTATAAAGCACGCGTGAAACAAGCCACATATGCACAGTTGAGTGTAAGATTCCGTTATACGCGGCCGCTCATGATTTTTTAGTTGTTCATCACAATTTAATTTTAAGAGTACGCGAATACATTGTGTGTATTTATATATCATCTTTTATTATCGCACTATATTTTATAAGAATAATTCAGTGAACAGCGACAGAAAAATGCTGACTACTGGATAAACTATAGCTTGCCAGCATAAAAAAATATGCAATGCGTAATAAAGGCAATCAACATATTTTAATGATAAATATTTTTAATTCACGGTCCATGCTCATGCTGCTCTTAAAAAAAATTTGTATAATATAGTGACATAGAAACATGAAACCCTGTAATCATGTACGAGCTATCATTTCAAAATTATAACTATATGAGAAAGATTAAAAGTGAATTTCAAAAATATTCTAATGTGTTATTTCATCTTTGTCGCACAATCTACTTCTTTTTCTGTTCTCTTCGGTACATGGTACCAGGGTTAATGTTAAATCATAAATGTTTCCGTCCCGAATCATCGTCCCGAATCATTGATATAAAGTAGTATTTCACTAATTTGGATGTGTATATTGAATCTTTATAAATTGCTATTTTGGATTACAAATTGTGATTCATATATATTCAGGCTTTTTGTATTTGTATGTGATTACCTTGTAATTTATAAAATAGCATAAGTCTCACAGAAATGTGTGTGTCTCTCTCGTTGATATCGAAACGACAACGAGCCGAGCTGTCGTCACTTTTAGGATAATTTTTGCTTTTAATGAAATGTATTAAGCCTGGTTAATAGTGCGTAAACCCGTCATAACAGAATATCCATTTTCCATTAGTACAACACGGCAATCAGCCAGGCCAAGAGTAAAAGAAGAACCGCCAGAGACGGCACCCGTCTCGTCTTCCAAGCCGACTAGGTAATTGACTTTTTTTCATTACGGCGAATGCATGTAGATTTAAATAAACGACGAAATAAATGGTGGGAAGTGTCACGTGTTCATTGCGTAGGCAAAAAAAAATTTATTCTTTTCTTCATTTTTCATTTTGGACAATTGAGGCATCGAGGAGAAAAAAAAGCATATAATATAGGATAATAAAGTAAGAAAAGCTTTAATTAACGATTAAAATAATCGAAAAGACAGAAACTTTGTTCTTCAATTAATAGATTTTCTATTGCTGGATTTAACAGAAAGAAAAGCATCAGGGAGAAGCATATTACATCTTTAGGTATTTATATTGCCGTTTGTAAAAATTACGAAATTACTACCGTTTTTTTTACGTATTTGCTATCGTTACAATTGCATAAATCATATCTCTGTTGTACTTGTTGCGTGCCGATTTATTTGTGTGTATGCGCTTTCGTCCACAAAATATATCGGTTAGCAGAATCATTATTAGAAAAAATAGAGTGAGAGAGAGACAAAGAAAGCGGTATATATATATTTCATCGTTTCTTTTGTATTCATGAATAATACCCGAGATTAACGTTTTTAGTAAAGTGGACTCGTAGATATAACGAAGTGTTGCAAAGCAACATTAAAGTAAGATAATTGGCTGACGTGACTTGTGTAGGTATTATGACGATCGCTACAGAGAGCGCGAGCGAGAGCGAGATCGAGAGCGAGAATCGAGCCGAAGACCATCCGAGCGGGAACGGGAACCGGAACGGGAACGTGAACGGGAACGGGAACGAGATCGTCGGGATGAACGGGGAGACTCTTCACATCGCTCAAGACACTAAAGAAAGAAAAGAAAGAAAAACCGATAAGCACCGAAGACGACGACGACGCAGCAGTCATGTCGACATGTCATAGGATCGATGATGAAGCAGCAGCAGCAGCACACACTCTCACACACTGCGCGCGATCCTCGTCTCTTTAATCTTTAAAGTAAAAAAAAAAAGTATATGCTTATAAAAAGTACGAGCACAATTGAGATATCCAAAGATAATGATATGATTTTAATGATTACTAATGACACACGGCATTATCGAGGAACATTGTAGTCTTTACACGGTAAAAGGGTAATCGAGATTTGCTTAACGGATTTGCTGCTGTACGGTAGCGTGGAGTATTTAGTAGACACTACTAAATAGAATTTCCGAATGTTCGTGTCTTCTTCTTTTAAGATAGTCAAAACGCAAGAGCTCAGTATAGAATTGCCATCTGAAATCTCTTCATTGATCGCGGGTGTCCTTTTGTCTTTTACATACATATGTATTGATATGATTAGTGCACACTACGTGTATACACGTATACATATATCTATATAACTGTTATGATTAAGGAAATATTCATTTAGTCCGAGAGTGGGTTTGTAAACGAGTATAGTTATCGCGTATGACTAAGTTTCGAGGGATGGAAGGTAAGAAGGAAAAGGAAAGAAAAAAAAATAAGGATATCTTGACTCGAGATCGTTCAATATGATCGTGATGCCCAGTGACAAGAAGCGAGAAGGGGAGCAAGAAGGCGACACAAGCAAGAATGGTTCGGCTTCGAGTGAAGGAAGAAGAACGAAGATATCTACGCGTGAAAACCATCAGCTTTCTGCACGGACGAGATTCAAGATTGTATCTTAACGTAATACATATATACGCTTTCAAAAAAATATAAATGCCAAACATGTCTTTACTTTATTCATCTGTACACACAAATTCCTGATAACAAAAAAATGAGAACTATGTTTTTGTTTCTGCGATTTTATAAAGTTCCCGAGTTCACAAGTTCTCGAAAGTTTCTCGAAAAGCTGGATCGTTGTGTGTAAATACGTATTAATTCTCTGATGCGTATCATCCATAAGACTCATAGAACCTTTCACTTAATGTCACGAGAAAATTGTATGCGCATCCGAGGATTAATGATAGCGAAAAAGGAAATAGTCTATTATTAAGTGAGATAAATCTGAATTAGAAATTATATACGATTCGCTTTTCGAAGAAACGAAAGTACTGAGAATGGAGTACGTTTTGTAATAAGAAATTAGGAATAAATGTGCTATTATCATGTTTGTGAACTATACAGATTGTCGTTGCATGTATCTTCTACGAAAATCTGCAGCGTAATCTACTATTGTTATTAATAATAATAGGTTTTATGAAGTATATTACGAACGAAATGATATTGATTAAATTTCGTATCAATAATATTCATAATACCAGATTGTATAAATGTCGTAAAACATATTTGGGAAAATTTTTGGTCTCACGAAACATCATATAATGCAATTATTCCTATACAATAAATTCCTGATCTTTTATGTTGTAAATTGTAAGGCTAAGTTAAAAAATGCATGAAACTTTGGTTATAATCACTTTGATGTGCTATACGAGGTATAAAGTCAAATGACTATCACATTATTGACAAGTAATATTAAGAAAGCCAAAAGCTGATATACAAGATACTAATAGCCAAATTGTTCACTTGATATTACGTAAGCGCCGATCTGTGTATCGTATAAAATATCGACATATCGAATACAGTACATGATAAATTGTGTATTTTATTATTTTTATAAACAAGTGATGTGAACAATTTGACTAAAAGCATAATTTTTGAGTTTGTTCTTGCGATATATTAATATATTTTGCACATAATAGAATCATTTCAATCTTGAAAGAATTAAAATTTTCAGCAAAATAATTTTGAAATGCAAATTGCTGGCATTTTATCTACCAGTTCAAACCAGGTGCATTCAATTTTTAAGAACGGTATATCAATAGTTATATTCGTGAATTTATTAAATGCACTAAGATTTGACTGAAATTTTGCTAAGTATTGTTGACGTAGTTCTGTATTCTAAAAAGAAAAGTGAGAATAGTAAGAGAGCAGAAAGAAATAGAAATGTTTGATAAAGTGTACCTTTTATGTATAATTTATTCTGAGGGTATTTGTACAAGATACAAACTTTTTTTCCTTTATCTATGTAAGTTTACATTAATTTCGAAAGCAGTGCCTCTTTAGTTTTACGCCCGACTAGCTTTAATGTAATTTTGCGGAAGGATGGAATTTTATCTGTCTTTTTTCTCTTTTTTAGGAATGGAAGAAATGAATCTTAAGAAAAAGAAAGATATACGCGTTAAAGAGACGTGTATATTTTCAACAGCAGAATGTCATGCAAACGTTCCTGCCTTCTATATGCTATATAAATTAAGAAAATCATGAATTATTTCCATGTAATCTTGATAATCTCACAACTCTGTTCAAATTTCTTATCAATTGATATATAGTTGAAGATGATAACATGCGTTTAACGTTACGATCTATCACCCACCGACGCTTAAAAGAGTTCTCTTCTTTTTAAGACAGATTATTTCTGCATGATTTATACGCATCCAATGTTTTAATTTTATTTATGTCAGAGAATTTGACACACTCAAGGAATGAATCTTTTAATCATTTATATATATACATAAGTATTATAAGAGTCGCACGATGCATCAAATGCATTTTTAAGTCAATATTTTTCTAGACATCTGTTGATAAAAGTGAAATTTTAAGAGAAACTATTCGAGACAAATTGCACATTTAATATCATTTAAATAGTACGAAATTGCATTGTAAAATTTTAATATGAATTTACGAAATATGGATTTACGAATTATTTGCGCATCATCAAATTTCGACTTGTATTCAATAAGAAATCTTTTAACTAAAAATTTTGAGAAATTACGCTATGTAAAATGCAACTGTATGTAATTCTGTTCATGTTTAATTATTATACAGTTATATTTGGCATGCTATTTAAATGTTATTAGAGCAAAATAGCTTGCTTGCTATTTTCGTTTTTGACTGAATCATTCGAGAACGGCGTACTATGATGAATTGATATTGAATTTTTAAGTGCGAGGCTTCTTTAATGAAATTGCATTGCATTTAAATTTATTCGAGAAATAATAGTCTTTTAATCGTGATTACAGCATTTTATTTTTTATTGATAAAAATACGAAGCCTCACATACAGTATTATTGCAAGTACTTAAATGACTTTGATATGGTATTACCGCATAGGAAAGCATCACATATATAATTATAATGTGACAGACATGTTTTACAAATATCAAAGTATCTTCTGAAACCACGCACAATATATCCATACTGTAGAATCGTGTTCTAAGTGACTAAAAAGACGTACAATATATGTTGCCATACATCTAATACATCCCGAAAGCAATTTGATATACGTTCTACCAATAAATCTGATAGCTCTGTCAATTAGAATTCTACCGTTGGTGTTTTGTGCGCGGTTTTGCGCGATCGCAAGTGAGGGGCGGCAGGAGAATTGAGCCGCCACGCAGTTTATAATCGTCTGCATAATTTATTCCTATGTACATTTATCAGTTTTTACTCCAAACTTTGTTTGCTAAGTGCACATTACCTCGAAAGGAAAAGCTGAGCTGTTTACCCGACAGACTCAGAAACCGCAACCATTCCGTCGACGTATTATAAGTCACTATTGCGATTATTTGTCATACCTTTGATTTTACGTAGCATTTTATTTGCGTAATAGAGTAGTCGCCGCGCGCGCTTCTCGGCTCGAGAACGACGCGAATAAAAAGTTGCCTGGGAGAGATATGTATGGACGTATAATGGGTAAGTGCAACAAACAACCGAATGCAACTCCAACATTTAATTATACTTAATTTTAAGTGTATTATTTTTGCGTACAATACGAACGGATATGCATTTTTCTCGTGGAAAATAGACACTTCCATTTACTTTCACGATATTCTTTTTAAAGAAAAAGAAAAGTAAGAGAACATATTTTTGTAAACAATTTGATGTACACACGTAATTTGATATTTTGCAAACTGCATTAACATGTTGTCCACTGTGCATGTGTTACTAAAATCCTAATCTTTTTATTTTATTTGTAATCATGTATACAAATGGTTGAAATAATTTGATATGTATTTAAGGTGTTAAAACAATTGCACAGCGGAGAGCAACGTGTTAATACCATCAATATTCTATACAAAGTGCTTCCTCTTTATAATTCGATCTCGCTGTAACTGTCTATTAGCAAAATGATTATCGGATGAGAAAATGTATCGATAATATTATAAGCTCTCTCAGAAGATCTTTAATTCAAATTTCAGAATAATGTTTTATTTTTATAATTTTATAATATGTATTTTGAAATAGTAAATATTTTATATAATTATATATGTAATACATAAAAATTATAAACAACATTTTATTCTGAATTTCGGCACAAATTGTAGATCATCTAAAGTGGGCTTTATTCGTCAACGTATACATTTTCTCTATCACCGCACTCATACTCAAAGCACAGAGTTTTATTTTATGAAAATTTCAGTACACGATTAATGATAATTACTGAAACCTATTTCTAAAATGCTAAAAAAAAATGTTAAGCGTTGCGATCTCAGTCTGCAAGAATGGAAGCATAAAACTAGCAACTGTTTATCTATAAAGAGAAATTTTCTGCTTCCAAATTATATTATATAAAATTTATCAGAAACACGATGGTACGACATTAATATCTTACGATTTATTGTAATGAAATATTTTGCCCGCGATCGTGCAAAGATAAACACTTGCGTTTAATGCAAGTTTTGCACGTTATGATATTCACTAAAAGAGAAGATGAAACGTCTATTCGTGAGTAACTTAGTGTGCAATCGTAACTCAATATTTTGCTCAAAAACTCATAATGCTCAAACCGTGTCATGCCGTAGCTAAAATTTATATATACGGATATATTGGTAGGAAATTTTAATACTGTATCTGCTAGCCATATTATACTTTTTTAAATAATTATATATACAAAAAGATTATATAAATTGTGTAAAAAGCTAGGTATAACAAAGATTATCTAGTCACATTACGATAGTAAAGTTTTTACACATTTTATTGCCATTTGAACTGTGATACCGATATACGATCATGCAAAAGTTTTTAGTAAATGTTTTTCTGAACTTAGTAATTCCATGCGATAATAAGCTTTATGTTTTGCTTTTATATCAAGGAAATGATTTTCGGTGCTATTGCATTACGCAGCGCACAACGTGTTTATAGAAACAGTAATAGAATCGTTCAGATTTGCGTAAACAATTTTTATATGGATTTATTTATTCATAAGGATACATATGTGTCGATATTTAAGTATATAGAGATCTTGCTGTAAATGTACAGATCTGAGCAGACTTATGAGAATATACGAAACGTATGTTACATAATAATGTCAACACATTATGTTAAATCTCAGTTTAATGTATCTCGAATGATCTAGATTTTTTTTTGAGTTTTTACTTTGCTGAAGGATAGTCTGCAAAACCGTAACGAGACTTAGGAATGCCAAATGCGTAATAATAGGCCACGTACGAAGTTATATATTTACACGTTGTACGCGTGTAATTGTAATAAATATATTTCGATAACGTCAAATAAGGTAAGTGATAAGACAAATAATGTAATATTCATGTAAATCTAGATGTGTATTTGCCCTCCTCTTGATTTCTCGCAAAGAAAACTTAATCGACTTAACTTAAGCGACGTGAGAAATCGTGCGAGGATATTTTATTTATTGTACGCGCATGTCTAATGACTCTGTACACGAGAAACTATATAATCAATCATTGCAGTTGTGATTAATGATAACACATTACAATTATCTTATAAAACGATCTTATAAAAGTGATGCCATTTTGATAATGAACAAAAGTAGATAAATTCGAAAAATGTGTGCTCTAACGAGATGATACGATATAATGTTTGTATTATAGATAGCGATTTTGTTCCGCCTTATAGTTTACGATATTCCTCTTGTATCGTCCAAAACTTGCAACTGTGATAAAAACGAATGTACCGAGATAATAAATCCAAAGATTTGCGACGATATAGAAAAAAATATCTTTACTAGATGGATAATAAATGACATAAATTCGAGTACGTTCGAAGAGAGCTTTATTTTAAGAGAAATGTATATATGGTACGTAACTTCTTTTTTTTTTCTATTTGACTTATTTACAATATTAACTAATGAAGATTGCATCTAGTGAGCTTTCTCTCTATCATACAATTTACATGATAGGCGTGGCCGCAACGGAAGATCGCGACTCCATTGTCACCTAGCAAAATCGGCGTCTGTAGAGATAACGTGCAGCCCGGGCACGTCAATGCTTTAATCCGATGTCGCATACCCCAATGATGAGCGCCTGTTCCGAACACATTTTTATCGATCGATCGTCTTAAATCTTTCTCGAGAACTTTCGCCAGCTGTTCACGTATCTATGACAATAAAATTAATACGGCTAATAATTAATAATTTAATATTGTCCGTTTTAATTAATATTTACTATCTATATTCACATTCTGGAGGGGAAAGGGAGAATTAAATTACTTAAGAATCATACAACTTGACCATTTTAATCGTTAACTATTGCTTGCGGAGTTCCCTTTATTTGAAATTATTCAATTTAAATAAAATCTACGGGATTATAGCGCATTTTCTGTTAGCAATATTTTTTTAACAAAGATTTTGAAAGAAACTATAATTAAGATTGAATTATGTGATTCACTTTGTATATCTAGAAAATTTGAAACATTTCCAGATGACTTGTATAGATTGATGTTATTTGGGTATTTCATTACTTTTACAATAGAAATGATAATGAGATTACCTGTGGTGAGCAAACTGTACCAAATTCCGATGATAATTGATTAGTTTTACTGAAATCAATCGACTTCTTCACGCCTCGGCGATGCAGCATTTTTGTAAACACGATCGACTGGAATATACTTTAATAAAAATAATATATTAATGTCAATATCTAGCCGAAATTAATTTAATGTTTTAACGTATACGGAGCGTCTTTGATGATATATAACTGTATATTATTTTAATTAAATGACTTATTTATAGATTTTATTTTATTTTATCTATCATTTTATTTATTTATATAACAGTATTCATTGTTTTAAAAAATTGCAATAGGTCAAGAACACTATAATTTTACATAGTGTTGTATTCTATATTCTTCTACAATAAACAGAATAATGAAGAATTAATAATCTTTTATATTAAATATATAAAAGATTACTAATTAATGTGGCAATATATAAAAGTTCTATTAGTCATAAAAAAATATTAAATTTTATGGAAGTTCTCTCTTTAATATTTAAAAATTGTTTCCAATGACAAATTTTAATATTACAAAAAAATTAATATTTTTTTATAATACTAATTAATTTTTCAGATATTTTATATGTATTATTTGTTAATTATTAATGAAATTCTCTCTCTCTTTGACATTGACTACAAGATCTGTACATCTATATATATATAAGCGTTGGGAGAGAGTATCTACTATCTATATATTTCTCTTCTTTACAGAATGATGACAGAGTATACATATACTCTTTCCCAACGCTTGAAGATTTTTCGCTACCTTCTGTCCAAATCAATGCCTGGCATCATACTCTCCAGCTTAATCAGAAACGCCATAGCCTCGTCCGGTCCCTCTCTCCTCATGATCTCTCTGGCGATCCCGCTCCAGTCCATCGGTACGTTGCAATCGGATCGCTTTACCAACGGCGTCGCGCAGAAGAGGCAAGTGCCGTCCTTGATCTCGCTCAGGCACGTGCTCACGCAACTCCACTGTTGCTCGTTCAGCGCCGGCAGAAGGAACGACAGCACGACGTTGTCTCTGGTCTGAAGGCACTGTCTCAACAGGTCGTCCAGCGCGTTGCGTCGCTCGACGCGGATCGGCAGGTACGTGCGCCACATGTAAGGTACCCTGTCGCAGATGTTGCCGCACTCTTTCGGCAGGTCGTCCGCGTATCTCTTGACCAAGGACTCGCCGACCGCTAGGAACTTGGGTTCCACGGACTCGTCCATCGGGTAGGGGTAGCCGCAGCCGCATCTGGAGTAAGTCGGCGCGTTGATCTCGATGAAGGCTCGCGCGAAGTGTCGCACCACGTATTCGCCGCCGACATCGATCAGCCGCGTGGAGGTGTTCTCCAGAAACATGTTGTAGTAATGCAACTCCGCGACGCGAGTAACCTCGTAGATGAAGCTCTGAAGCCCGGGCGAGTCGCGATAGGAATCTTTGACAGTTCTCATCCTTTTGTCCGTCTCCGAGATAATTTCCTCGATCTCCCTCTCCGACATACTGGGTCTGATGCTGTTCGCCACGTCGTAAATCGACCGCAAGTCGGACTGCACTCTGTGCGTAACGTTCTCTTGAAAATCCGGCTTCTGACCACCGTCATCTTTGGCATCTAACATCTCGCCATCGTGATCCGAGTCGAGCGTGTTCTCCGAAGCCGTTCCGAGGGCGTTTCCTCGCGCGAGATTCTCTTCCCGTTCCTTCCCAGATTCTACTTGAATCTCGGACGAATCGTCGCTGGAGATTTCGGGAGACTGCGACGAGGACGTCGTTTCACAGCCGTAGGTTTTCTTATTCGCGAATCTATCGTCGTTCTGCGAGCGCACGACTACGATCCCGGAGTCCAGTTTGGCCGGTCTATTGTCACCGCCGGCTTGCAGAAGCGTCATCAACGGCCGCAGCAGCGCTTTCTCGTCCCGCGGCAGATTTTCCACCTCGAACAGCCCGACAATTTCCTCGGTGCCGACGGCTTTCAACAGTTGCGTCTTATATACAAAACACGCCCTCAGACACTCGCTGTACTGCTCGCGGCAGTACAGCCGCAGTAGCAGACTGTCGAGCGACGACAATGCTAAACAATGAAATTCGCTATCACAGGTCATCAAGTAGATCCGATTGTCCACGATCGCCGTCATGCTGATGTTCGTGTACTCGTTGCTCCACAACGGCGTGCTCGCGTTCGTGCTCGGATCGATAATGTACAGGCCGCTGGTCGTGTGGGAAAATAAATACTTGCGTGCAAGTACGAACAGGTGCGAGAAGTTGACAGACTGCGGCGGCCACTCGCGCTCCGTCACCTCCAGCTGACTAGATTCTAAGGTACTATCCGATCGAAATATTGCTATCGGAGGAATGGCCAAAGCCTCCTTGAACTGATGCGTCTTCACGACGATCCCGTCGGCCGAAACCTCCCACAATCTCGAGCCGGGTCGCGCGCAAAATATCTTCGAATGATTCTCGCCCAGGACATTGCTGTCGTTGTCGGAGATCAAGTTGAACGCCCCCCGCGTGTTGTTGATGTTCCTCTCCTCCCTCTGCGCGCTCAAAGTGTCGCTCTCGTGCGTGTAAAAACACGCGCCGAACTCCCCGTTCCGCGGCTTATTGCCTATCTGCTTGTACTGCTCTCGCACCGTGTCGCAGACGTAGCAGCGCGTTAACGTGGAGACCAGCAGCAGAGGCGAGAGGAAGTTTAATTGCACGACGCTGGAGTCCAGATTCATCAGCGTGCACGCTGGAGTTTGAAACATTCCATTGACCTAATCGCAAGGGAATATATGCGTAATTGTTTCGATTGAAATACAGAAAAGTATATTAATATATAAATTAAGATCATGTTGCAGGAATATACATTATTAAATTGCACATAACTTTAGTCTTACCATAAATTGTGTATTGAAATAAATATTAAACTTGCTGGAGTGCATTCAATTTAGCGTGTTACGAACTTTACCGTGAATATGGACAGCACCATAACGGAGACCCTGCCGACTGCATCTCCCACGTATATATCGGTACTGTTGTTATTCCAGCAGATGCAAGTGATTTGTTTATACATGTGTTCCGTCGATACTGATATCAATTGCGGAGTGGATTTCAGAGAGACTAGACAGACGGTACCGCGAGTTGTTGCTAAGGCCACGGTCTTCTCGTCAGGTGATATCGCCACACGCGAGACTACACCCTCCTAGTGGAAGACAAATACAATATTAATAAACCAATTACATATCCAATAATCACAATATGTCATGCGTTAGTAATCAACACTTTATTAGAACATATATATTTCTAATTGTATATTTAAAAAACTGACGATATATGTCTTAACATAATTAGAATTAAAACGTCATTTACCGATAGAGGTATTATTTGAAGAAATGAACATGGTTCTCTGGAGAACAAGTAGACGCTGCCACTGGTCGAGCCGAGTATAATGTAACTTGCTGAGGCGTTGAAACATGTGTACTGTAATTACATCATTTATGACATTATTATATATATATGTATGTTATAAGTGTATGCAAAGTTTTAATCTTTTCTTACGTTTTCGCTTTAGATGTGCAATAATATTTATCAAAATTTTGCCCTGATTCTCTATAATTTTTTGTCATCTCTCATAAATTCAAAATTCCTTTGCGAAAAAAAACATCGGCTTGTAGATATCGAAATTGTCGATCTAAAATTGTATCATCAGCCATATCTCGAAAGCTCTGCTCACCTTAAAGAATGCTGCATCGAATAAGATAATCCGAAGCCAAGTCTGATTAATACGAGAAAATTTCTCACGTTAAAAATGATTTGTTGAGTATGTGCGACCTACAGTTGACACGCAGCAAAATGACCATCCGGTTTACTTGTCCATTACTTATACAATCTTTTATCAACTCTTGCACAGAAAAAAAAACGCAAAAAAGTGGGAATTCATTTGAAATTTAAATACTTATACCAGAACGTTGAAAAAAGACTAAAACTTTTGCACACATATTCGAAACTTTTACTTTTGCATCTTAGAGTATTATGAATATTATAATATCATAAAATTAATCAAAAATTTGGAAAAACAAAACAGATTTTGGTATCTATATATTTTATGTACGTTGCTGACAGGGAACATACTTGTCGCTATACAATTGAAAGTAAAAAGTTATGCAACGGTACTATAAATAAGTAAATAACTAATGACTTATAATATACATATAGATACACAATGATGTATCGTAAGTAATACGATATCGCGTGTCAGAGCAAGAGACCTGTAAATGTATTTATTTCTACATTCAATCTGAAGACAAGAGTCTCGAAGCGCTTGTCCGATATTGCGAAATAGAAAATATATTATCCATTTTATTGATTATTTAAAAGCTAAGCCGATATACGGGGAGCAAGCCGTGTGATGAATTTTTTGACAGATACATACATTGTGTACCGCCCACTGTACCGCTCGGAGAGTTAACCTCTCTCGCGAGTTACGTGCGAAGGTGCGCGAGCACCACGCGTGTTCCCGCTACCTTTATCCGCTGCGTCGAGTTGATCGGTTTGTACAGGATCGAGTTGATTTCCTCACGTTCCGACAGGACGTAAGGAAGATCCGGTACAGCGGGATACATCGTCCAGCATTTTCCTCTCCGAATCGCTTCGTGCTCCAGCTCCGACTGCTCGAGTCGAGTGCTCGCGCCTCCGAGTGAACGCGCGCAAACGGCCTCGATGGATATCGATATTCGATATTATCGACTATTCGATATTTCAATTCAAAGACTCTTAGATTTAAACGATTAGTAATTAGGATAGGCACTCACAATTATCAAAGTCAATAACGCGATAATTAGTGCGTGGCTAATTTAATTTTTAAATACAATGAATCTCCTTCATACATCGAACGTATTTTTGCCTTCTTCAGCTGCTGAAGAAGATCTAAAGAAGGCAGAAACGGTCATAAATTTCATAGCATATTACAGTGTGCAGTAACAAACAATCGTTAAAATTGGTAATAAAATGATAAGAAATAAAGCTTTACCGTCTATTATAGTTAAAGTTAAATTACATATCAATCTATACGTACACACACATACACATACACATACAATCGAATAAATAAACAATATCTCCAACTTCTTTGATCCTTTCGAACAATTTTGTAAACGCTTGCTAAAATGATATTTATCTAGGCTTAGTATTAAACACTCAACAGTACAGGACATTTGAAATGGGTCGAGAAAGAATACACTCACAATCAGCATGGAAATATTTCAAGAATAAACAATCTTCTTGTGCAACGTGCATAATCTGTGAAGAGACAATTAAGTTTAAATCAACGCAATCTATAGCACGGCTGAAAAAGCACTTAGAAAATCATGCAACATATATCGAAGAGAAATATCCACTACTGTCCGAGCTAAAGGATCATACAAACCTAGAGGAAATTTTTATGCAAACTGTGAACATTGCGGCAAAGAGTGGAATTATAAATACGACTATCTTAATTTGCGTTCACATTTACAAGTCACCCAGAAAAATTAAAAATCAAGTTTCAACAAGAGTAAGTATATGCAAGAATATAATAAAATATTAAGGAATTTAAGATAAAAATAATGATAAAACAGTCGTTGAAAACAATTTAGTGGATATAATTTCTTTATATGTAAGTAGCAAGCTGACATTAATTGTCGTCATTAATACGTCAAAACGATAAATAATATCATGTTAATACTTATGGGTTATATTAAACATCCATATAATAGCTATTTCCATTTTTAATTAAAAATGCAGCATTTCAAACATAATAGTTACAATTTTTCAATTATTGCACATATAATATAAAAAACATTGAATTCAGTTATGTTATCGTATACTTGCGTTTTCGGATGCTCTATATAAATATTTTAAAAATTAAAAATTCAGTTTAAACATAGTTATCTACTAAATACTAATGTCACAGAAATTCGAGTAAGATATATATAAAATATTGATTTTCCTGTACCAGACTAAAACTCGACTGAACTGTTTGAAATAATAACATTATCTCTTCCACTTTTTTAATCGCATGACATTCAAATGTAGATCTGTACAACGCGATACACAATCAACGAATCGTACCATCCTATGTATCATCCCCAGTTAGATCATCAAATGCAACAACGATCTAATTGGACCTTTCAATCGTTTGGACAAGCCAGAGAAGAAGCAAGTGTTTCTTACATGTAATTATTCATTTTATTAATATCGCACGATGTTATATATGATTTTCTAATCGTTAAATACTAAATTTCTTGCACCAGAATAATGCTTGATTGAAAAGTTTAAAATAATAACATCATCTCTTTCATTTTTTTAATCGCATTGCATTCAAATGTGGACCTGTACAACGCGATACACAGCCAACGAATCGTGCCATGTATCATCCCCGTTCACATTGTCATCAAATGCGATCAAGAACGATCAAGAACGATCTGAATGGACCTTACAACCATCTGGAACGAGAGAAGAAACAAGTGCCTCTCACATGTAATTATTCGTTATTTATTTATATCACACCGTCTTGCAATAAAGTCTTCCAATCGTTGAATATTGAATTTCCTGCATCAGATGTATCTCTCGTTTAGAAATTGGTTTAATATTTTTGTAACGTTATTTCGTTTTTTTTATTATATTTATTCACTTATTTTATCAATGCCGCCAATTTTATCAACTTGTACTGTATTTTGATTTAAAATATTATGTCCTTATAATATTTACAAAAATCAAATAATTATTTGCAATTTTACGATTTAATGCCAATATATTTTTCAATTAATAAAGCTTTTATGATTGCATTGCTAAAATAAATGAAGAAAAAAAACAAAAAGAATATTGAAATAACATTACAAAACGCTGCTCTCTAAAAGAGATATACCGTTTTATAAGTTTAAAATTTTTGATAAAATAATAAGAGATAATAGTTAAACAAATCAATTAGTATATCAATATATAATTACATTTACATACATTTATGACATTCATTTATTTCATGAACACAATTGCAAGTTTGTTCAATTGTGTGCGTAATGCATTCAGAATTAAATTATGTTCTTATAATGTTAATAACAGTTTCTTGCACGTTTGGATAATATGTATAAAATGTTTGATAAAAAAATGTTAATATTATAATATTTGGACGATGTTGTCTTTCAATATAACGAGGTACACTTATAAAAAAAATTATAATTTTTAAAGAGTCGTAATATTTAAAGATAAATCTTGCCCTTCTGACAACACGTGATCTAACAATAAAAAATGTTATACATTAAGCGACGTAGCAGCTACGAATACACATAAAAATATAAAGTCTGACCATGTGACTGCATCACTTTATAAATGTCAAAAGTCTACAAAATTGATCCAGAATTCTTACGTGAAGTGAAATTTCGAGTAAAATATTTCAGAAACTAAATCTGCTTTTTGAAAATTTAAGAGCATTTCTCTCATATAATGGCACGTAGATGTGTTCTTTTAGTTATTTACAAGTATTTGTAAACTTTATAGTATTTTTATATTTTTTATCGTAACTATTTTATCGTATTCGCAATCATTATGCCTGTTATAATATTTTATTAAATACAAATTAACGAAAACATAATCCGAATAATGGAAATATCAAATTTTTTTTAATACCAGCAATTTTCGATTTAAAAAATGTTAAGTCGGATTAGTATGATGTGTTCCCGATTGCACTACATCGTTAGAACAGGTTGTGTAGAGTTAAGCCGAATTCGTTTGAGATTCGGGTCATTTTATGCTGGAGGGAGAATTCTTCGGTGGGGAAACACTCAACGTAGATAGCGTCCCGCGACCTTCTTCGCTTGTAGTACGCATCGTTTTCAGTAACGGTTCATCCATGAGGCATTAACGTTACCAAGTTATTTTATTTTATCATTCTTTGTCTTTGAGACGATAGTGTACGTGCGCGCGTGTGTATGAGTGAGTCACTGTCACTCGTAAATTTTAGTGTCATCTCCGTCAAGAGCGGATTTGGATGATGTTGTCCTTCAGTATAACGAGGTACGCTCATGAAGAAATTACTAACATTAATCAGAATTAATTATCGCGATTTTTATTCGCGCGGTTTCCACGAAATTCGCTAAACTGTTAATATAGTGAAGAAAAGTTAAACATTGTTTCCCCTTCGGACAAAGTGATTTCAATGCGCGTGAAAGAATGCCTCCCGTTTGAGAGAGCTCGAACAACTTTCCACAAATTTTTCTTAAATTAATTGTAATCTCACGTCATAAAATGTAGAAATTTAATATCTTAGAAATTTAATATCTTAATACATTTGTGTGTGTAATAAACAATTCTTTAAATTATTAAATATTAAATATTCATTATTAAAATAATAATAACAATTAAATAAGATTGTTCTGAGCGTTCTGAAAAAAATCTCTGCGTTGTTTAATTTAGTCTCGTCTACATATGTATACGTCCGTTCGATATTTTTATTTTTTTTAATACGTAACAATTTAATTAGAAATAAAACGTTTTCAAATGATCTCTGATTCACCTAGCGCGTCCGCGATGTTCGAGATAAACGTCCGAAATTTTACGCTTTCTCGTTACAACTTATTGGGTCATGCGCACACTTTCGTCTAATTTCATTCACTCCTTTTTATAGTAAACATTGTTGTTTACTATAAACAGAGACTGACTCACCCTTTAAAGTAATAATAAATAAGTAAAATAATAATAAGTAATAATAAATAAGTAAATAAATATTTTATTCTGAACATTTATGGGATATATTCGCATATTAATATCTTTTGTACATACATAATCATAAATCTCTTCTCTCTCTTTCTCTTTCTTATAGCAGAGCTGATTCTTTCCCTCGCTTGAAAGAGAAAAAGAATAATGCGTTTAAATTCTCAATGTTACGAGCCGGTTAGTGAAAGTGTTTTGTGGCTTAAGCCTTGGCAATAAAAATACAGGAATTTGGCAAGAATTGCGACATTATAATAGAATTGCACAATAGTACAATTGTGATGATCATAACAATATTTATATACAAAAGCGTAGTATAAAATAAAACAGATAATTAATGAAATTAGCAATCAAACAGTCATACGCGATAACAATTAAATGTTTTCAGCGAAATTATAATTTTAATTTTTTTTTTTTCGATATTTCGCAATAAAAACACTGCGCGATCTTACTTTAATAATGACAGAAATACTTCTCGTGTACTTAGAGAGATTAAAGAAAATGCGGTAACGGGGTTACAGAATGAAACCGCCACTGCGAATTTGCGGAACGCGACGCTGCTTGTTGCAATCCTGCGAGTCGTACGTTCGTCGGGGTTTCTGCAGCGATACGATCACGTCCGAATGTCCTCATACGTCGTCGTCTTCAAGGATCGCGTCCTCGTCTGTTAGACCGTACGACGAAGTGCCGGGACCGCGACCGATACCAATATTAGGCAACGCCTGGCGGCTACTGCCGCTGATCGGCCAGTACCAAATCTCGGACGTCGGCAAAATCTCGCAGATGTTCTACGAAGAGTACGGCAAAATCGTGCGGCTAAGCGGTCTGATAGGCCGTCCAGATCTGCTCTTCGTCTACGACGCTGACGAGATCGAGAAGGTGTACCGGCAAGAGGGCCCTACGCCTTTCAGGCCCTCCATGCCCTGCCTGGTGCACTATAAGAGCGTCATACGCAAGGACTTTTTCGGCCAACTGCCCGGCGTCGTTGGCGTGTAGGTGAACAATGAAATTATTGGCGAGTAATTCCGCCTTAATTTATTGAAATATGCAGCATATAAAAAAATTGAAAACTTTTTCATTAATCTAATTTCTTGATTTTAAAAGTCACTGCAATAAGAAATTTTCTTAGAAAAAAAATTTTGATAGTTAAAGTTTTCTTTTATTCTGTTATTAATATTTTACTCTATTTTACATAAACTTATCTGTTATTTTTTAATATGTATTTTTATTATGTAAACATATTTATTATAAAATTATATATATTGAATAATTTATTTTTTTACTTTTATTTTTATTCAAAAGCCAATTATACAGAATTAAAAATAAGCGAAGATGTTGAGAATTTATTAAATGTAAAGCGCGTGAGTCGTATATATATACCTACATTCTCGATTGGGCGAAACTTTCGAATTTTGTGACCTTGTCCTTGACTTTTTATTATGCCAGTATAGTATCTCAATGAAGAGGCCGAAAAGAACTTTATTTGCTTCGTTCGTTTATTCTGAGCTCATCACACTCTAATTTGATTTCTCTCATTATAGGCACGGCGAGCCATGGAAGGAATTTCGTACGCGCGTTCAGAAACCTGTTCTTCAGCCGAAGACTGTGCGAAAATACATAACACCGATTGAAGTAGTTACGAAGGATTTCATAAGCAGGTAAAAGACAGTGGGGGAAAATATAAACTTTGCGTATATGGATATATAGATGAATATTGATGATTATTCTCGATTTCTCTTATGGGTTGTAGAATTGAGACGATTAAAGGAGACGACGGCGAATTGCCAGGCGATTTCGATAACGAGATACATAAATGGGCTTTGGAATGTTAGTTTCTATCTTCCTATGCAAAGTATTAACCGCTTATATTATGTAAAAATTAACAGCGTCGATTGCGTACTACACGAAACGTTCTCTCTGCGCTCATAATAGATCCTTCAAATTGTATTTAAGATATTTTATACAACTTACAATCAATATCAAATTTTTTCTCGATTGTTAATCGTTGTTCGAAGAATTAATTTAGCATTGAAACATTGATTTTTTTATTTTTATTGAGATTTTTTAAATATAATTGTTTCATATTCAAAGATATTCCTTAGTTAGAAGCTTTATAACGTTAAAAAGTACAAATATTCGATTAAAAAAGAAGCTTTGTGTAAAACTATTTATAACTCTATTATTTTATAATAAGTGAATTTGGAAGAAGTTATCATTAAACTTTAAATATACGTTTTAAAAAATTATTAGAAAGGAGGAACACTTTAAAATTAATATGTAAATTAAATAAAAATTGCTGTTTTCTCTTACAACGCATCATTTACCTGTGGAATTTTCTATGTAGCAAAGTATTAGCTTGATTGATTTTTATCACTTTCTACTTGTTTTTCTTACATCGTGATGTTGTAGAAGGATATATTATGTAGTTATATAAATCTCGTAATAACATTTATCGAGACTTCTAACATTTTACACATATAAAACTCCTAACATTTAATACACTTACTATAACATTGTATATATGAGAGCGCAATTTATTTCTCGCAGAGAGATCGGTAGAGAGAGATAGAGAAATGATTTATATCTATTAAAATTCTCGCTGGGAAGAAAATCCCTCCCGCTTTCTCATTCCTATTGAAACGTGCAGTGACGATAAGTATTTACTACGTACTATGAATTATACATTTGTTGATCGGGCATGCAGGTATTGGTCGAGTGGCACTCGACGTCAGGCTCGGATGCTTAGGCGAAACATTGTCGTCGGACTCGGAGCCGCAAAAGATTATCGACGCCGCCAAATTCGCGCTGAGAAATGTCGCTTTGCTCGAACTTAAAGCCCCGTACTGGCGATACATCCCGACGCCCCTCTGGAGTCGTTACGTACGCAATATGAATTACTTCGTCGAGTAAGTTTAGAAAGGTTAAATAAGGTAAAAAATCCTGCACACAGAAAAGACATATATAGATGAAAATAAAATCAATAGAAAACGATTGACAGAAACTTATACTGGAAAAAATGATGACCTGTTCTAACTTCCGGAATTCTATGGTCATATGACCTCCTTTCTTTTGTCCAGCCGGATAAGATTGGAAAATTAGAAACCTGGAAAAAATGAATTTCTCATTTCGAATTTAGAGAGATAATTTTCAAAAATTGTGAGATTAATTTGATAGTCGTCTGACCTCTCCCTTCTCTTTTATTCAATTATTGTAATTTTCACGAGATGAATTTGGGAAGTAAATAAATTTTTTTGTTTAGAATTTAGATAATTTTTTATTTAGACAATTTGAGAGATTAGTTTGAAGATTGTTTGACTTTTTTCCCTCTTTTATTCAGTTGTTGCAATTTTTACGATCGAGTCGACTGAGAAACAAAGAAAACTAGAAAATAAATACCTTATTTGAAATTTAGACAAGTAAATGCGATTTTCTTTCTTGTCTCTTTCGGTATTTTGTTAGATCACTTAGCGCTTACGTGTTTGGAGGTAGAAAGTTGTTACAGTAAAACAGTGGAAAGAGATCCATTTTAGAGCTATTAGCTGATTTCGTAATATCTATAATTAAATGCTAAATATTACGTAAATCGCATTTTCCAATTTAATTCAATTTACAGCTACAGCTCGACAGTAATTCATTCCGAACACGCAACGAATGGTCACGACATTATGATAATGTGTGATAATGTATGTTTTATTTTAGGATATGCATGAAGTATATCGACGCCGCCGTCGTTCGGCTTAAAAATAAGAAATCCGTGGACGAGAGCGACTTGTCGCTGGTAGAGCGAATTTTGGCCAAAGAGACAGACCCCAAAATAGCTTATATCTTTGCCCTCGATCTGATATTGGTCGGCATTGACACGGCAAGTGGCGCAATATCATAAATTCCATCTAAAATATCATAATTAAGCTAAGGTCTTAAATCTTAAAATTACAATTTTGACGCGAATTAAATAGGTAATAATATTATGTGAAAATATATAAAATTTAATTAATTATATATAATTATATAATTAAAAGTACATGGAAAGAATAGTTTTGTTAACGTATATAAAAATTAGAAACTAAACTATTGTAGATCTAAAAATACAAAATTATATTATAAAGTAAAATATAATTATGTAGGATCACGCTCACAAACAAGATAATAATGCTGCAAAAAGTTTTAATAGTAATGTTGTTCAATTTGAACAATATAATTATTTTGATGATTCTACGTCATTACTTTGAGATCAGTGTCTGGCCTAATTTTTATATTTATGTATATGTTAGTAAAAATCATTTTTTTTCGTGTGTACGCATATATATATCTTCTATATTTGTTATAGATATCAATGGCAGTGTGTTCCATATTGTATCAATTAGCGACTAGACCGGAAGAGCAGGAAAAGATACATCAGGAATTATTGCGAATATTGCCGGATCCATCCGTTCCTCTTACGACGAGCCACCTGGATCAAGCAATTTATATGAAAGCTTTTATCCGGGAAGTGTTTAGGTAATATTAAACGTCATAGCATTTAGAACATTTATACAATTTGCGCTCACAGGCTTCGAACGCTCCAATTTAACTTCTTTTTCTTTTTCTCCTTCCTAATAAATAAACATTAAATAATTTACTATGTATTTTAATATGTATTAAACTAACAGACATTTAGGAACAACGATAAATAATTAAAAATAGAACGTTTTTTATAAAATCACTTTATGGCTTTTCTGCGAACATATTTTTATAGTTTGGACATTGAAGTCTTAGAGCCAAAAACAATTAATTTAACTTTTAACATATATTGACGATAGCCTGATTACTTTCACAAATTACTGGATATTATTATATGCGTTACGTTTCAGAGTGTACTCGACTGTTATCGGAAATGGAAGAACATTACAGAACGACACCGTCATTTGTGGCTATAAAATTCCCAAAGGTGTACGTAGCACATATCTTATTTTTATATCTCTCTATCGCTGAAAGTATTCATTAAATACTCATTGAATTCATTAAATTCACGATAATACTTTATCGTGCTCGATAAAATTTTTTGTAAAAATTATCTGTAGGAAAATAAGATGCTCTTCTTAACACAATCCTTAATAGTCTTTATAAATAAAGTTTCGCGATACATATACACTAATCAAATTTTTTATAAAATTATATTAATTATTAATATTATAAATTATTCTTATTTGTCAACAAATGTCGGATATATTGGATGAATTTAAATTAATACAATTTTAGATTCAAGTTGTGTTTCCAACCCTTGTCACCGGTAATATGGAGGAATACGTTACGGATGCGAAGACGTTCAAGCCTGCGAGATGGCTCAAGGACTTTGACAATCAGAGCCTACATCCATTTGCATCGTTGCCGTACGGTTACGGGGCACGAATGTGCTTGGGCAGAAGGTTCGCCGACCTCGAGATCCAAGTGCTTCTCGCAAAGGTATTTTACATATATATATATATATATATATAGCTCCGTGTGGAATCGGCGCGTGAATTTTGGGGATTCGTTCCCTCATCCCACATACGAATTTTTAAATTATATACTCGCAATCTGCGTAAAACAGATTCTTGGCTTTTCAGGATTGGACAAAAGGACTTGGCAACCTTTCTAAAAAATTAAAAATACTATAAAATTCTCAATTTAAAAAAGATTAAGATTATATCACTCGGATTATACAACTACAGGTTTTTTTCTACAAGTATAAATAACGACAGCGGGATGTGTCACTTGCTTTGCTTGAGCTGCTTTCGAATTCCTGTCTTCGAATGAGAGTCATAATTAAAGAATATATTCTCTAACTTGAACAATTTCATTGCATTTTTCCGATACTTGATTTAATTTATACTTTATTTCGTCATTTAGTAATGAATTTTCCTAAATTGAATATTTATTGAATGATTTAATCGATTAATTTAATATAGAATGATTTTACCTATTAATTTAATATAATTTTTAGATTTCATTTTAATTGTGTCTATAAAAATTCACGTTAACAATTTGAAACAATAAATATATTACTGACACAACGATATTACTTTCAGCTCCTGAGATCGTATAAACTGGAGTATCATCATCAGCCGCTAAAATATAAGGTCACGTTCATGTACGCGCCCGATGGAGAACTTAAATTTAAAGTTATAAAAAGATAGTATTCTGCAAGTATAATACGATATTGTAAAATAACATATAGTTAATCTGTAAGTTTTGAGATATTTTCTTCGCTTTAACATACTGCGTAAATTTATTTAAGTATAAAATATTGTAAAATAATTCCGATTACATTATATAAGACATGATTTTATTTTTTAAGTATAAACTGTAAGAATAGTGTTTCTTCTAAATGCACTTTATGTATGTAATGGACATATTATTTTACGCGAACTACCAAGATAAATGGAGCTCGCATTTTCATATCTCATTGTCAGCAACAGCTGGGCCAATTGTATTCTAATTATAATTTCTACATCGACAGCTGGGATTTAAATTACACAAAAAAGAGTTCGAGTTTTTATTATATCAATCGGATCAATGATAGCCTTGTGATGTTACTTCTAGATACCACTGCAATGTCTTTGAAATGACACACATCGTTATATTTCCTACAGAATTTAAATAATTTTGATCACATTATCACACTGATTTAGATGTAAATAACTTATTCTGCTGTAGTGACGAAAGAATAGATGGATTTATTTCATATTATTGGATATTTTAATGTTTTTTTCTAAATAAGTTCTTTGTTTTAATTATGAGTTGAAGAAAGCCAGTCTCTTTTTCTGTAAATTTGATTGTTAGTAATTCTTAGTAAAAGAATAATTTTTTAAATCTAACGGTCAAATCAACGGTAATCTGTTTATATTTCTAAAAAAATAAAAAATATTTATACATTAATTGAATTATTAAAAAAAATACATATAAAGTATAAAAGAATTTAATTTTACAGAAGAGCGTTTCAAAGATTAGATATACTAATTATTCACATTGATACTAATTATTAATATATAATTTATATATTAATCTATATACTTATATATTTTTGGAAAAAATATATAAGTATATATTTTATAAAAATTATATCTTTTGCTTATATCCACATGCAGATATATGGGATCTACTGTTTTAACGCCATTCAGTTCTAAACGGCTTGCGTGTGAAGAGATTTTCATGGCAAAGATACTCTCGGCGATTTGCCATTGTCCAATTTCGAGAGGTGACGATCAAATTTATTTGTTATTTTGTTCTATTGGTTGGATTTGAATCTGAGTTTTTGGCACAGAGAGCAGACGCGCAACTCACTACACCACGATCGTCACAGTAAGCTTATTGCTTTGTTATTTTATTTAACACATGTTGATTGATTGAACAATTAGATGACTTCCCCAATGTCATTTACCTATATATTATCATGTATTTTAATATGCTACTAAACTATATTAATTTTTTAAAATTCACTGTAAATTTTTTTTTTTAAATCAGATAAGCGAATAACTGACGTCCATATGTAGAACTATCTACTAGTTAATTAATTGATCGTATTCAGCAAGCAATATATATATTAAAAATATTTGAAAAAGAAAGAAAATAAAAATACTGCACCTAATTAATTACTTTAAAGAATTTTTTCTTAACTTATTTTATAAATATATTAATTTACATTGATTAAATGATAAGAGCACATAACAATAAATATTTTTCTGTCTGTCATCAGTTGTGAAAACTATGCTTCTAAGAGAAATAAAATTTAATTAAAAACTACATTTTTTTATTAGAAATGGGATAATAAAAGAGAGAGAGGTATATATGTAAAGCGATACAATCTGTTAGACAAATCTATTGTTAGATCAATTTGAATTATATCTCAATATTTATATATGTGTATTTTATATAAATAAAATTTTCTTTTGATCATTATATGAGCAGTTTTGCAAATGCTTATTGAAACGTACGATACTTACACTTAATTAACACCATTTTCTAATACAGTGCAATACTCAAATTATTTTTGAATGGCTTGTCAATTAAAAATAAAAAGAATAATGACGTAGTGAAACGTTGTTATTGTTATTATGCTCATTTACACATTAAACTTTTTTGTATTGTATAGACACGAGTACAATAATTTAATGTTTTGACAATTATAAATTTTTACGCTAATTTTTTATACCACATTTTTTTCTACAGAAGACGCGTGTATTTGGCGCCGTTTATTATTTCTTTTTAAAAAGATAATTTCATAAAAATTATATATATTAATGCACAATTTGTGTTTAATGCAATTATTGTATTTCTTTGCATTAAAGTGCATTCTAGAAACTAAATACAACATAATTTTTCAAAACTATGTCAATACATATATAAGAAACTGCTTATAATTATAAATTAATATACAAATAACATTTTTTACGTTCTTTCCATAAAAAAAGATATTATCTCTCGATAAATCTCAGCTTCAATGGTCCCTTTGGCGAATACATTGGATTAATGTAATACTCCAACTTTTCATGGTGATATTCTATTTTATAAAACTGAAGAATCTGAAACAGAAAAAAGATAGAAACTTATAGATAGACTAATATATATATATAGACTTATTCGAGTAGCAGCTGTAAAATTTATTAATATCGCTTACTAATTATTTTTTTTACATAATAAAAATATCTTTAAAAATTACAAAACGTAATGTTATCAAGAGAAATAAGAATCGATACATAAATATTTCGTCCATTAAGATATAATTTTCATAACCGTTCATAAGATATTGTCACTTGTGTTGCTTTCAAATATAACATCAAAATTTTGTTCAAATAAAAGTTATCTTGTTTAAGCTCTATATAATAACTTAAACAAAAGTTTTAAATAATTTTTTTAATGGAAATACTTTATTTTTTTTGTTTTATATCTAAAAGCAACACAAGTGACAATATCTCAAAACGATTACGAAAATCATATCTTATTGAAAGAAAATATTTCGGAAATATTTTACACTTCGTAAATAATTTATAAAACAACGCAACGTTATACCTAAAAGTATTTCAAATCTTCTACGCCATTATAAAATTTTTCAGCAAAAGACATTTTTCAATCTCATCAATATGGAGAAAGTTCTCTAATGCGAAAACGACAAAATAATGGGACGACAATGTAACGCTTTGTTAGCACCAATTACGGTAATAGTAGAAAATTACCATAACAAGTACATTGCAAAATTGTGGCTGTAAAATGCGCAATGCACGCTTATTGCCGTGCGACACGATATATAGTCGCAGAATTGCATTGTACCGTAAATAAGCAGCTCGCGTTTACGACATATCAAACATTCTTAGAGTTATGTAATTATTATTCTTACTATGATGAGTAGAGATGAAATAAAATAATTATATTTACGCTAAACAAGATGTGATTGTTAATTATATAAGATTTCCAACAGAAAGAATTTGCCGTTAAAATTTTAACGATCGTTGAGTCACCCTAGATTTTCGCAGAACACCTTATATTCTCAAATAACCGAATTCTGCATGGGCTACGTTCCAAAACTTCACTCGGTTAATCAAAACTCTAAGAATTTTAGTTAACTAAAATCTACAGTTTACAGTGACGTAAACTATAGAGTTTTGATTAACCGAGTAAAGTTTTGGAGCGCAGCTCTGCAATTACCTGAAAAAAATTAACTAAAGAAATAACTGGTGATCTGCATTACTGAGAACGCAATATTCCATGAAATCTTTTTTTCTTTTTAACCTGTAAATATATCTTTGACAACTGGAGGTCGTTCCTCTCACCTTGCTAATGACGATAATTATTTCGAGGTCGGCGAATCGTCGTCCCAAGCACATTCGTCTGCCGTAACCGAAAGGGAGTGAAGCGAACGCGTGACGGACACCGTCCTGATCGTTCAACCATCGCTCCGGAAGAAACTCGTCACTTTGCGGAAAGTACTTCTCCAGATTACTAATGACGTAGTGTTGAAATACCACGTGTACCTGCGAACAATTATCATACTTGATTAACATCTATTTTTCCGTTATTCCCAGATCTCCATAGATTGAATATTTAACGTTAAAAAGTATAATTCTTAATAATTTTAAATACATATACAGTTAATATGTATTTTAAAATTCAGATTGTCATCAGCACCAATTGCAGTGTTGATTTATAGCTGTCAAATTTAAATTAATTGGCAAATGAATTTGGCAAGTGGAAAATTTTTTTCTCTTACCCCTTTCGGCACTTGATAGCCGCCGATTACAATATCCGAGGTTGTACTCCGCCCATTGCCTATGACCACTGGATACATCCTGAATGAAATAAAAACATAAATTAAAATTGTTAAATTATTAAATATCCCGATAATTATTGTCGAGAATAATTAGGTTATTGCTTACAAAGAGCAATTTTATTGCGAAACAAATGCGGATTCGAAGCGATAAATACACGTGTGTATTTACCGCTTATCTACTTTACTCAATCTCTACGAACCTGAGAGTTTCTTTCACACACGCCTTCAAGTACTTTAAATTGTCGATGTTCGTCACCTCGAGAGGCGCGTCTCTTTGCGGGAGAACGTTGCAGATTTCATCGTACGCTAAAGCCTGTTTCTCCGGATGTAGCGCTAACTGATAGAGTATCGAGGCTACCGCAGTCGATGTCTGCAAATAACTTGACTCCGTCAACACTTATGTATAATGAATAATCGTTTAATGGGAAAATTCCAAATGACTGAAATAACTTACCGTATCAACGCCGACCAAGAACAAATCTAGAGCAAGAATAGAGGCTATTTTCGTATCACCTTCGCGAGCCAGAACTCTCTCCAGAAGAGACAATTCTTTGTCCGAATCCATTTTGCTCTTGGCCTTCGACAGAGCGATGGCCGTATATTTTGATATGGTACTAAAAAAATTATCAAAATGCCACATGCATACTTCTACATTTATATTATTTACTATTTATATTAATTATATGAAATAAATCAACAAAAATTTTTTCTGTTTTATTTTTGTAACCGATTAATTTGTACGAAAATATGCTAAAATGCTAAATCAAATTAAAAAAAAACAAAGTTTTTAACGGAAAAATATAATTGTAATAAATTCAATCGTGCTACTTTAACTTCTTTATTAAGATAGGTACCCCTTAAAAAATCTTAAATGGTAAAATCACAAATGCAATATCTGAAACAGCATTTATCCAAATTTTAAAAAACAAGACGGTTGTAAAGATAATTGTAAGATTTTAGAACAGTGTGTCAGTTTTGATGCCTATTGCTATTTAAGATTCTTGAAAGTTACTCTAGTCAAGGGAAGCAGCACAGTCGAATTTATTATATATTCCTAGCTTATGTATAAAAAATAAAATTGACACGTTTTGCACAAATCAGTTAGTTAATGTAAGAAGTTTTTAATAAAAAGTTTTTATTGGCTCTGTATATTTGCATATAACATAAAATATATAAATATACAGAAGCTAATAAAAATTTTTTACCTCACATTTACCTCACAATAATATCCAAGGAATTTACGTATTGCTGCCACCTGGGTGTATTAAAGACTTTCCAAAAAGGAATCTTTAGTTCGAGCACAGGCACGTTTTTGAAGAACGTGATCAACGCGTCTATGACTCTCTGCGTTTCTGCATTCGCGTCATCGTCCAGGCAACCCAAACGCACATCCAACGCGATCCGTGCAATAGCTATCGACAACGATAAATTATTTATTAGATTCATTTGTATCTACGTTCGCGAATTACGCAAATTTATTTACTGCACTCTAAAAACGTATCTTTGATGCATAAAAATTATTGAGCTTTTCGGAAAGTTCATAATGATTTTTTTAAGGAAGTATAAAAATAATATTTTTATACACATACAAATATTTCTTAATATGTAAGTTATTTTTTAATTTAATTATAATCTTATTTCACAAAAACTTTTGCCATTTTACACAAATCGAAGGTTTTATTTCTTAAAATTTTTTGCACTTTTTTGTAGAGACAAACTTACTCTACGATGCGGCTCGGATTAACCTTGGAAAGAACTTAATATTTTTACGAAAATCGACATTTGTTAAATTTTTTTTCTATTGTTCATATTCTTTTTTTTTTACTTACATTCTAAAGACCATTTGTGCAGCTCATTGAGAAAGTCATCAGGCATTTCATGGTTCTGATCCCGTAGCTTTGCTATTCTGTAAATAACGAGCTAGGGAATAAAATCGTTTTACGATTGTTTATAAGTGGGACACAAATGTAATTAAGTAGGCGGTGAAAGCTGGACGTAGAGATTCGAAAAAGGTCAGATATTTGGGTCTGCTCTATGGACAGCGTTTACAAAGTAATAAAATTCAACGAACCTGCGAAGGAATGCCGTGCTCGCTTCTTCAATCGCGCCGATATACATTCTCGCGATCCGCGGTTGTAGCATCACCTGCTGCACCTTGCTTCGGAAATTATACCAACTCTCACCGTGGCTGCAACACAGAGAGAAAAGAAGACTCAAGGTATGGTATAATGGCTGCCATTCTTCCATCTGTCAAAGGGAAAACAACATTTCACCTTAAGAGCGCGTGGAGTAGAAACTTAACACTTGTAAAAAAAAATGAAAGCGTTTAAAAAGACAAACAACACGTTTTATGGCTTTACTACAAATTAAGAACATATTTGGACTGTTATATTTAAATAGATACATAAATTACTGTAAATTACTTTATTTTATAGTCAAAATAAATTCTCTGTAAAATGATAAATATATATTTTATTTATTAATTAAAATCCGAAGGGATGACAGTATACATTATAAGCCGGTATTCATAATTTGATCTTATACATTCAAGATCCGAGACATCATTAATTCATTGACTGGCCGCGGTCTTAAGATTGTCTATGACTATAGACATAAGACTATCTTATATAAAATCGGACTATGAATATCTCCCATAGAATTTAATATTGGTTAAAAAAAATTAAGTTGTAGAAGAGTTGATTTCAACACTTTACAACTACAATTTTTTACTACAAAATTGACACAAAATAAATAAAAATCAAATAATTTTTACATTAATGCTCGACACTTATTTTTATAATCGGTAGATCTTGCTATTAAAATTAATGCTAAATAATGAGAAAGAATATAGACGTCAAATTTTTTATGTCAAAACCATAACATGAATACTGCGTGTTTTTTTAATTAAGTTATTTGCAAATAAATATCATGCACAGTTAAGTGTACTTAAAAATTATTAAAAATAAGCAATTTAAAAATATCTTGGTTTCTTATTAATAAGTTATATAAAAATAGAAAAACAGAATTATTACAAAAAATAAAATAGATTTCATATTTTAAAAATATTACGTATTAATTCTTAGATCATATAGATTTAAAATATACGACTTACACGGCGATTACACCCGGATTAGCCTGAAAGAAATCCTTTCGCAATACATGCTTGTAGTAGTCAAGTGATGGCATGGATGGCCGATGAGGCATCTTTTCTTCCCGCCGGAAGATTCGTTCAATCTCATTTGCATCGTATACGAATACCATGTCGGGTCTGCCTAAAAGACCTTCTAGCTTCACGATATTGCCATACTTGTCGTACAGTCTTTTTGACAGTTTGTCTATCTCCTGTATGTTAAAATTTCCTGAAATGAATAATTTTTTAATAATATTTTAAAAGAGATCTTTGTATACTTTTTTAATAATATTTTAATAATATTTTAAAAGAGGTCTTTGTATACTCTTTTATTTCTTGATTTTACTTTCTATTTTGGAAAACTTGATAAGATATTTATTATAAGCAAATGCAATATTATTATCAACAAATTTGCAGGTTTAATTAATAAATAATCGAAGAATTGCTAATAAAACATTTGTTTTCTAAATGATGCTACTATATATATAAATGTGTTTGATTACGCAATATAATATACTTCAGACTTTTATGTTATTATTTGATGTATGTAAATGTAGTGTGTACTGCTATGTGTATATTTAACACTTCAAAGTAAAACGTTTTCTAATCAAATACTCATAACGCGAAGTCAACAATATTTACGCGGTGCATTAGCATTTTCGTCAATGTCGTCAACTTTATGCAAATAGACCGGCATTTACACATCTTAACGCTCTGAATGGATTTGAGAACGGAGAGATCATTAATTATGATGATTTTATCTCTCTGAATAGTTCTAAAAGGACAGCTCTAGAAGAAAAAAACATGACATTCAAGTCAAGATTTAACTCTTTATTATTGCATGTGGCATAGCGTTTTTACGTATTTTATAATTAATTTATATAATATATTTAGTATCTTTATGTTCCTGAGACATACTTATATATAGATATACATGAATAATATAAATACATAATTATTTTACATTATAAATTATAAATATCAGTCAAGACTAGCAATTTCTTAAAATAAATTTATGCTACAATAAAAGATAATAATAAATATGCTCAGAAAATCTTTGCATTACCTATATAATACATTTGAAATCACTATAATTTCAAATCTTTGAATAATGTTACATAAATTTCTTCAAATTATATAAAGAATTATATAAAGAATTTAATAATAAATAGTAAAAATTATATCCAGTAATATTTTCAAAATAGGTAATTTTTCATTCTGTGATAAAAATTGATTAATCAGATTGATAAGAATATATATGTATAACAGATTAGATGTAACGCTGTAATCAAAATCCGACTAAATTTTAATAATGCATTTTTATATTAAAATTGCTTTTTTATTAACTTAAATCTGCATAGATGCCGATCAAAAAAGGGAAAATTAGTAAAATAAATGATTTGAAAAAAAAAATCGGTTTCTATAATAATTTCTTACTTTATGTCTTTTTCAATTAAATTTTCTTATTATCAGTATGCGTAGATTGTGTGTTTCTGAATGACATATTCAAGAACTAGCTGCATCATTATTTTTATTAGAAAATGAAATATAAGAATTTAACTGGCGCATGTTTTGCTCGCCACATATAACAACTCTAAAAAAAAAGGCATTTCTAGAAAAGGCACTACGAGGAAGTTACATAATCCAGGAAACAATAAATAAATGAAGACATAATGAGAGCATTAATGAATGTCGGGAACATCCGCATTCATAAGAATACTTCACGAAGAACATGTGACTCACCGATGCTTTTCGTTCTCTTTATTCTTCGAGTTATGTGGCAAGGGAAAACTGCTGTGCTTATTCTCCCGAGGCTATATCTCTTTAGAAAGAGATCCTCGTCAATGAGGGACATGACGACAATTAAATTAAAGCACATGAACCATACAATAATATGTAAACAAAGAAGTGTGCTTTTGAATTTAAGAGTACTATCGAAAAAATTGATTAAACTCCAAGCGATAACAGATGGTATGAACACACAACGAATTGGAGGTGCTAAACCGTTTCTCTTTTTCTTACTCGTCTCCTTCTTCAACTTTTATTAGTGAATTCTTTTCATAATTATCATCCTTTCTTGGGACACATTGGCGCTTTCACTTTCCTATCTTTGCTTTCTATATGTATATGTTTTTCGACGAACCGCTTCAGTTAATTTCAGAAAAACTTCCACTTATAATTAGTTTTTATTTCGGTTCAGTAGAAACTTGTTACGACGGAAGCACGTAATAACGATCGCTTTCGATAACAATGGGATTCGTGACTCGGTAAAATTATCCGTTTCCGAAAAATCATCTTTTCTATACCTATGTAAGGTAGAAATCGCCATGTGTTGCCAAGCAAAGGAATTGGCTTAGGTCCCGGAATCTCTGAGTACGGGCGATGTCGCAATAGATCCTGTCCCTCGACATCCGCTGTAGCTAGCGTGTCTAACGCTCTATCGCTTTTTGTGTCGATTCTGACGAATCGACGCAACAGGTGCCTGACATGTTGCCTCAACGACATTTTCTAGCCTGTGTAATAAAATAGTCATTAAATAACTATTTTTATCTAGGATCATAATATTTGCTCAACGGTCTTATTGGAACTATAATTATCGTAGTACATACTTTACAGTTAAGAAAATGGTCCATACAAGTTAGAAGAGAGTTCAAAGAAAATATCTGAAAAGAAAAATTAAGTAAAATTAATTTCTTTCTTCCTATTACAGCTAAGTAAAATTAATATCTATAGTATAAAAATTACTTAAATTCTTATTTGTATCTTTGAAAATCATACAAATATTCTTAACAAAAATATATTTTTTACTTTATATTTTAAATAAATATAATATTTAAATAACAATGGGATTCGTGACTCGGTAAAATTATCCGTTTCCGAAAAATCACTTTTCTGTACCTGTAATGTAAAGTAGAAACCGTCATGTATTACCTAAATGTTAAGTCTATTAAAAATATTATATTTCCTAAACTTTATTTTACACCTTTTTTTAATATTTTATTTATTTTGTTATTTATGTTAGTAGTTAATAATTATGTGTGTCCAAGATTTATCTACATTTTATTCAAAAAAACTGGCTAATAAAAGAAGCAAATAACTTTCTATAGGAAAAAATCAATTTTTAAAATTGTTTCTTACTTATGGTATTTTGTTAAATTTATTTATATTCTGGGAACCGTACGCAGCTAGCTGTAATTACATTATAAATACATATTAATAATTATAATTACATAAAATTTATACATATTTATAAAATAATTTTCTTTTAATAAATTCCTAAACATAATGTTTTTTAACTTAAAAAAAAAGTAATTTGCCTGTTTAAAAATAGTCTTCGTGTGATGCTTATTTAGAAGAAGACTTTAAGAAATTTCGCGCCAAGAGCCAGGCAACCGGTTCTGCATGCAGCGAATGTAACACATGACATAAGCAAAGTATAATGCAACAGTTCTTACGGAAAAACATAGATATTCCTTGTTATTGGGTGCGTTTGAGCGTAAAGCACTATTGAGCACTTTCGCTAGAGTTGGCGGAGATAATGACGGAATTAAACCAAGGCTATAAATCAGAAAGACATTACACATTTCTAAAAAGTCATTGCATGAATATCTCATACTTTCTAAAGCTGCATATTTATTGCATCAAAACGATGTAATCCGTATACATTAATTTTAATATCTCTTAAGTAGTTGGGCATTTATAACAATAAGTTTATTGATGAAATACGATAAACCTTTTTTAAAGAAATTATATAATCTTATTGAAAATTTAATAATCAATTTCGAAGATACTTCCCATCCAGAAATAATTGGTCGAATCAACGTACGTCGATTGATGTCAATTCGATTTTTTTTTTTAATAAGACTACTAGCATTACATACGCGCGCTTCGCGCACGCTATTTAATATTTATACTATACTTGCCATTACACTATTAGCCTCAATATATACAAATGTTAAAATGTAATGACAGCCGCTTGCACAAAGTAAGCGCAGCGAGGCAACTTATAATCGGCATCGCGGAAAAGCGACAATAAATTTCGAGTAATCGGCTTTACATGCACTTTTTTAAATAGGATTATTAATAGAATTCATATAATTCTTTGAAGCGAAAATAATAAGTATTAAAAAACATAAAAATTTACATTACAATAGTAAGCCTTGACACAGTCAGCATCTTTATAATTAATTTACGTCAGATTAACACTCATTACTACGGAACTTAAATTGCCATGATTGCACATACTTTGTTCTGTATAAATAATTACATACAGCGTCGGAACACTATTTCCATCTTGGGAGAATTTTAAAGGAGAATACGTTAATTAAAATGCCTAATTTATTATGACTGACTACACAAGACATTGCGATAATTAAAAATTTGCGAAACACGATAATTTCTAAATATATGTAATTTTATGAGCACTACAATTTGGCTTGGCTCCTAGCCTTTTATTTTATTGTTTAATTTTTAATTATTTGAGCCTTTGACTTTCTGATTTATAAAAATTTAAATAATTATATTAAAAATCGAAAAAAATATATTTTAAATATGCATGATGTGAAAACAAAAAGCGAGAAAACACAGATAAAATTTATATTAAAACATATCACATTTTAATAATTAACATCACATACTTTTATTAATTTGATGTAGTTCCAATGATATATCATGCATACAAAAAAAAAAGTAAACAAGATTAAAAAAGTAATTTCGTATTTTAAACGTACATAAAGTAGCAATAAAATACTACTTTTATCAAAAATATTCTCGAAGTTTCTTAATAAAATATGTAAATATATGTATAGGAAACCGGATATATTTTGAATAAAATGTTGAAATAAAAAGCGAAAATTGTGGGTAATATGACAATTCGTTTCGAGAGAAATCGCAAAGTTAGTAAACCATTAACTGTGAAATTCGCAATTCGTACTTACGATGCACTCGTTGCATCGCATATTGTCGTAACTTTCCCATAGATTGTCGGAATTGTAATTTAGGCGATCGGTTAATCATGCATCTCACGCACTCGCGGCGGTGTGTTATATCAAAGGCGCAACAAGAAAAGAATAAATGTGCTCAGTTTTAATTGCACAATCTAAAAATAATGCAACTGTCGTGCTCATTTAAAAAGAAAGCTCTTCAAGTAACAGTTTTACAATTTTGGAAGAAAAATGCAGGCAATTTTTTTTAAGAGAAAGATTAAAAAATCAAGAAACAAGATAAAGAAATTTAAAAAAATTGTAACTTATTTAAATGTGGTAACAAAATTTAATTATGTAACCAAATTAATAAACTAAAACTTTTTTGTTTAAATTTTTTCGATATCTTTTTTATAATATCATAATTTTTTAGACAAAAAAGTGACAAAAAAATATAATTATAAAAATAATAATTATAGACAAAAAATTTTATCAAATTAGATATTCACAAACATTGTAGGGTAGGTCTTGATTTTGCATTTACGGATTTGCTAAATTAAATGTGTGATCGCATTTATATCCAATTAAATTACACACAATTATATATCACACGTTTAAATATATATATACTATACGTTTACCTATTATAGGCAGTTTGTACAGTTGAAATTGAGTTGTAAAGATCTTCTACAACACGTTGTACGCACGAAAAAAATCACGATCTGACTGAGACTGTCTTGCGTTCTTTCGCGCTGAAGTACCCGATATTGAAAGATGTTTGACAGAAAACCGCTCGCAAGTGGGAGAACGAATATAAGAAGGGGAACAGACACGTGTGTGTGGAATGTTTGTGGATGCCCACGCATGTGTGTGGAACGACATTGAAAAGAAGAATAATAAAATATATAGTATATTTTATAATTATTCCATTTTAATTTAATATACGAATCAAGTTAATAAACATTGAGAAGTGAATGATTATTTAATAGCAAAGACAAAATTTTGGCCATTTTCGAATTATTAAATTCATTCTTTTAGCATATTGAATTACAGAAATGACAATATATACATACATGCAAGGTATCCCAAAAGTTCCAGAATGGTCAAATCTCGAAAATATATAGAGGATTTTCAAAAAAAAGATTTTAGACAAAAGTTGTAGAGTTTTAAAAGACGCATTATATGGCAATGTAATTGTGACTTTGAACAGCGTTGTTAAAGTCACGTAAAAATTATTTTAAATTTTTTAACCGAAACCCCTATTTTTGATTCCAGGATCCAGAATCTAATAGTTGGCGCATCAAGAGCTTTTCTAAACACTATAATAAATTTATCTAAACGCTATAATAAGTTTATTTTCATTAAATATTTTCCGAGTTATGAAGCGTGAAGTATACAGTTCCGCCGGCATTAACAATACTCAAGGTGACCTACATGGAGGTTGTCCAGTCGGATTTACACCTATTGTAGGTGTATATGTATGTGTCACGACAGACATAAGGGCCGTCAGTTCCGTGATTTTTATGACTCAGAAACTTCTCTGCTGTGAACATTCACATACACATACAAAAGCGGTATAAATCTGACCGAGCAACCTCCATGTGGTACACCTTGGGATAATGTTAATACCGGCATGCTGTGTGGGAGGGGGGGCAGCCGATAGAACTGGAATATGTAAATACACGCAGAAATATCATTAATCCTTTCAAATTCATGCCAAATTACAGTGCTAGCTGTATCTTAAAAAAATATTGCTGTGACACGCCCATAGCGCTCGCGATACTCGATATTTCAAGTCTCATAATTTGGAAATATTTAATAAAAATAAACTTTATTATATAGTGTTTTAAAAAGCTCTCGATTTAGTTGTTAGATTCTGAAATTAAAAATGAGGGTTAAATTTAAAAAATTTTAAAGTAAAAAAAATTTTTACGTGACCTTAACAACGCTGTCAGTTACATTGCCATATAATGCGTCTTTTAAAACCCAACAACTTTTGTCTGAAATATTTTTCTCAAAGATGCTTTATTCTCGAGATATTTGATCGTTCCGGAACTTTTGGGACACTCTATATATGTATTATGCTACATAATCATGTTCGTATATTATTCTGCTAAATGCTATTAACATTTATTCATTTTACTGCATATTAAGATACATTCGAGGATTCATACCATTTCGACTTTTTCAAGTCAATCCCTTTCAACTTAGTTCTATAATTATTTAGAAGCTTATTAAAGTTTGCATCATCTGCATCGGACTTCTTCGTTTTCTTTATCTGAAAAAAAAAATGACATTGTATGTTATATCTGCATTACAATATTTACCGCAGGAGAATGTGGGCACCAAAAATCTATAGTGCAACGTATACATGTGCTATATAGATTTTCATTAACAGTGAAACGCTCCACACAGCATGAAATATTTTTTGTGAATTATTTTTTTAATTATTTCAATTAAATATTTCAAAATATTTCGTAAACATTTGTAAAACATTTTAAATTATTATATTAAAATATTTCATAAAAATATTGTACAAAACAGCATAAGAAATATTTCGAAAACTCTGATTTCCTAGACATATTTGTATTTCAGAAATATTTCATGAAATATTTTC